GGTTTATTTGCGTTGTCCAGAGTGTGGAATCGGCAAAACGAGTAGTGAAGAGATGGAGGTATATATGCTGGATATCATTGATAATCTCAATTGTTTTTCAAAAAATCTCGTCATATTCACTGCATGTCTGAAAATTTCACTCAAACTCAGTGGTTTGTCCCAGTTCACGGGGTGTATCTAAAACGAGATTCGTTTACTATTTCCTCTAGCATCCTTCAATTCCGTACGATCATTAGAAAGCGTAAAAGTGATGTATCATTTGATCTGCACTGATATGCCTTTGATATTATAATGTATGTGAGGAACATGAATGATATTGAATTTCGAGGTATAATTTCGAGATGTGCTTGCAGGTTCATATCAAAATGGAGCATCTACAGTGGTTACCGTTCCAGTGTCCAATATGTTCTGCTGAACGTGCATCCGATCTTCAAATGCGTGAACATATCCACTCATCACACAGAAAGAATTCAAATAAGGTCCATTTGTGTGCCTCTTCCTGAATATACTAAACCGATGTATCGTGAATCCACCACCGATCTCGTGAATCCAAATTTTAAACAATCCACTACCGTGAAAGCAATCAAATTTCAAATCGCGACCGAAGCGTGCTTATCCGTCAACTTTGATCAGAGTTTTGAATAAGCGGAAAGCCTATTCGCTATTTGCTACCAAATGGCGAAGTTGAAATGCGACATCTTATTGTCTTTCAGTTTATCTACGTAGACAATCCGAGTGCGAAACGTCTACTGCAAATTCTAATGGATCGTAGTTTATCGAGTGCACGACGTCCATCTTCGACACAAAACGGTCTGGCACAGTTGATTGGTAGCTCTAGTTACGGTAGTAGCGATTCATCTAGCGCCAATGGAAGTACAGGAACAACGAATCGCGAGCGACCGCACACAAATGGCTCTGAAGAAAGTGTAAGCTTAGAGATACTTTCAGTTTCTTGCGATTCGTTTATCCGTACAGGCGTTGTTATCTATGTTATCTAAGTATGTCCACCGGTGATATCGGATAAGATCACAAGCGAATCGTTGAAAACGGCTAATGCAGCAATGGGTTTTTTGTTCTGCTCTCTTGACCCATTACTTTGACTCTCATTGAAGATCTGATAGAGTGGTATAGACGTTTCGATATGACAAGGTTTCGAACCATGTATGATATGTTGATGCAATGAGACAGCGTTTTACATCTCCATCGAATTTGTTATCGTTTGACGTTGCGTGCTTTCAGCGTTCTCAGCAACAGGAAGGAGG